ATTCTAACACTTCCATCTTGACCTTGATCTCCTCTATATTTACAAGCTCTTTAAAAAAACTATAAATAGACCACATCTTCACATATAGGGGGGAAGAGAAGGAGAGGGGAAAAAAAAGAGGAGAAAACCGAAGAAAACTTGGAGAGCTCTATTGACATCGACCACCGTCATATTCTTTATCCACCGCCAACGTTTTTCTACACCACCAACATCTCTTCTCCACCGCTGACATTTTTCCACACTTTACACTCGACCGCGTACTTCTCCATCGCGATGTTCTCGTCGACTACAACTGGACTCTCTCCTAAATAATTGTCGAATTTTTTTCCTACATTACCAAATTTTATTGATAGAATTTTTCAATATATTTGTATTTCTCTTTTGTCCATCAGATTTTAGAGTATCATGCCGTTAACTTTTAAATCATCTAAATTCTAGTGGAATGATATTCAAACAGAATGGCAAGGCCCATAGATTTTTCTCTTTTTCTCAGAGTTCACTACTTTTTTATGATATTTTCTCTTTCATCTGTTTGTGTGCTGAAATTTTCGTGCAATTGCTACATATATTATTCTTTTCACTCTACTGCGCAAATTTCTAGTCCACAACACCACAAACATATTAATTAATTATATTATATTATATTAATATATATATATATATATTTATAATATATATCTAATATAATATATATAATATGTATATATTTTTTTCAAGATAATATGAATAAAGTATATCCAAGTAGTTTTTTTTTTTCTTTCTTTCAATTTCCCTTCCAAGCTGTAAATCACCAAGTAAAAATAGAGAAGAGAGGTAAGAGTGGCATCATGAGCCATACATCAGGCGCTGTGCACAGAGATCCCCTGCATCATGTGCTTAAACTCAAGAAAATCCACCCGCCCGTCACTGTTCCGATCAACCGAACAAATCATCTCGTTAACCCTCGAGAAGCTTTTGGCCTCCGGCAATCCCAGCTTCGCAAGCACCACTTGAAGCTCAGCCGCCGAGATAAATCCGTCTCCATCTTCATCAAACACCCGGAAAGCCTCCTCCATGTCGGATTCCTCCGCCGCGTCGCTGCCCTCCTCGATTTCGCCGGCGAGGGATTCGCCGAGTGCTCGATGCAAGCCTTCGAAATCGGAGAAGTCGAGCCCGGATTGGCCGGGGCGGATGTGTGCGGCGACAGCGAGGGATAGGTCGTCGGGATCAGCGCCGAGTCCGAGGCGGTCGAGGGCGAGGGAGAGCTCGTCGAGGGTGATCTCGCCGTCGCCGTTGTGGTCGAAGAGGTCAAAGATGCGGCGGAGGCGGACGGAGTTGAGACTTGGGGAGCGGAGGCGGAAGGAGGGGGAGGGGTGTCCGAGGCCCGGCCGACGAGCAGATGGAAACAGCGACAGAGATGAGGTCGTCGGCTTCGCCATATTGTGGGCAAGATCTCGATGGAGACGAGAAGGATTTTTAGAGTTATTATAGTCGGATGAGAGAGAAAGTTCGCCGGCCTTGAGAGCGGACGTGGGAGTTGCAATGGAAGTCGTCGCTTTGGTTTGAAATAAATTTAAAAAAAAAAAAGATAAAGAAAAGCTTTATTTTATTTTAGGGCTGATTGGTCGGCTGAAAAATGAAAGGGGGTGTAAAAAATATATAATATAAAAAAAAGAATATTTTGAAAATTTTTAGATGAGTGTAAAGTAAA